AGCTGAGAAGTGAGAGTGAACTATGAGAGCGGGAGGCCGGGCTGGCGGAGTGGGCCCCAGGTGGAGAGGATGGCAGAGCTGAGAAGTGAGAGTGAGAGAATCCATTCTGCACATATGAAGAGCCAAATATTACCACAAGAATAGAATTGGGGAAAGGGACACGAGCCAGACGACAGTATCTTCAAAGAGGGAAAAAGAATAGCCTAAGGGTCTGTAGATGGCTGAAGCGCATGAAAATAACAAGTAACAATATGGTCTGCCATTTTCAAGGATTGTTGGGTTTCAGACACGGCAAGGAATTAAAAGAGGCCAGAGAAGAAGATACAGGGGAAAGGAGCCATGAATTCCAGAGGGCAAGTGGAAGGGTTCTGGGCGGTGGAAAGGGATGGAGTGCTGTATGCAAATTCTCTCAAGCGTATTTAATCTTCTCTTTGGGAGCTCTAAGTATGAGGAGCAGAACAACAGAAAAGGAAGGAGAGACAGCCTGCACAGCTCAAGACCGGCTACCTCGGTGGGGGAGGAAGGACAGCCCTACCCCTGATTCCTCCGGCTCCAAGAGCAATGCTAAGTGCTTATCTCTATCCTGCATGATAATTTGTAAAGTAAAAGCCCACAGTGGAAAAACACAGACAGCTATGTTTCCACAGGATGAGAACACACTGGCACTAACCTGGAGCCTTTAGGCTGCTGCAGCTGGTGCTCTAATCATCTTGAGACAATAGGAGGCCCCGGGAGACTGCCCAGGCTGGTGACCCTCCAACTGTCAGTCCTTCAAGGACGGAGAAGACACAACCAGGCTTGCCCCTTCCTTCCCCTTGGTCTCTCCCACGGGTCATCAGCTATGGGGCTGTCATTGGAGCTTTTCCAAAAAGCCCAGGATCCTCCCAGAGAAAGCAGTCACGGATCGTCCTAGTGGGGGAAAATATATATATATATTTGCCCAAGTTATTCAGGACACTGCCCCGGAGAGGGAGATTCCCACTTCGATCGGAGCTTCCGTTTCTCTATTCTGTTATGAAAACAGCCCACTCATACAGAATCACTGCTAACCTCACCGCATCGCAGTACTGAGCTGTCTTCCGTAAAGTAGATTTCCAGGTTCAGTCCCCCTACCTGTGAGATGGAGATCGTATTATTTCTCCTGCTTGAAACAAGTGGATTCTTAGCAGGAGGAAACAGTGTGAGACTGGAGATTGAAATAAGGTTCAAACAGAGGGATAGGAAAGAAGACATGAAATTCCTCCTCCCAGGCTGCGAAATAAATTCAGGCTCTGAAAATCCTGTTTCCTCCTGAGGAGCCCCAGAATAATCAGATGCAATACTGAAGAGTAGGGAATACTTTTAGAGCTGGCTGTGCTCTGATTTTTAGGACATGGGCAAAGGGGTTGGGGTTGGGGAGGACACCCCCTGTGGCCGCGAGACAGGGCCGCGCGCAGCTGCGGAGCGTGCCGACCTCGGTCGCGTAGCAACGGGCCGGGAAGCGCGCAGGGCTGGCGGCGGGGTGAGCGCGGGGAGCCCTGCGCCCAGCGCCCCAGAGCTTCCCGATCGCGGGAAACTTTGGGGCTGCTCGCGCTGGCTGTCCGCGCGATGCCCCCGCGGGCTGAGGGCTGACCATGCCGCGGGCCGCCTCCGCGGAAAGTTGGCGCGGGGCTGCCTCCGCCCGGAGCGCGCTTGGCCCCGGCCGACCTGCGCTCGAGTTTCCGCGCCGTCTGGCACCGTCGGTGGGGCCGGGCTCCGAGGACGAAGCAGGCCCGGGAGCACAGACTCATCACTGGGAGAAGGCATCCCGCTCTTTTCCGAGGGACTTGCGCTTTAAGTGACGCTTGATCAAGCCTCCCTAAATTGTGATTCAGTTTTTGTTTTCTGCCTTTTGTCTTTCCCAGGCAGTGAGGACGTGGATGCCTCCTGTGCGCCTTACAACCCGGGGGAATCCGGTAGGTCTGACCTTTTTTCCTTTTTCCTTTTTGGGGACGGTGGCGGTGGTGGTTTGGAATTCCAGCCTAGAAGCGCGAGTTTTGGGCTGCCGAGAAGAAATCCATTGAGTGGATGGGAAGGGTCAGGAGGGCCATATATCGTGCGGCTGCAGATAGGCTCCGTATTCAGACTGGCCTCTTCCTGGGGCGGGAAGCGTTCCAAGTACCGTGTGTGTGTGTGTGTGTGTGTGTGTGTGTGTGTGTGTGTGTGTGTGTGTGTGTGTGTGTGTGTGTGTGACCCCAGCTCAGTGGTGCTTTCAGAAGGAATGCATCACAGCAAACTTCCACACCTGGCCCTTCTGTGAGCGAGCTGAACCCACCCGGCCTGCAAGGGCGATGGTGGCCAGTTCTGTCTTGCTGAGCACCTTGTGGAGGACAGCGTGTATCCTTCACCCGAATCTAATGAAGTCGACTGCCCAAAAAGGCGGTGTAATCATTCCATTTTGAGGGGGGTTCTCCCATTTAATCTGTAGGTGTTTGGAGTAGGACATTCCATCCCCCTGTGCCAGGGGCTGTAAGAGATTTGTGCAAGATGAATGGCGACACTTGTCAGAAACAGACCTCCCTATGTGGAGAGACAGATTTGCATGATCAGGATCATACTAAGCATTCCTGACACCCGGTCTCACCTGGAAGCCCAGTATTTCGTTTGGGTTTTCATTTCTCCTTTTTTTCTGCTATCAGGTTAGTTTATTTAGCTGTTAGCTAGTCTATCATGTCTGTCCTGGCTGTTCTCTAAATCACCAGCATAGAAACCGTGCCTTCCTACCATGAAATAAAAAGATTTTTTTTTTTTCTAATGGTGCAAGTTGACAGCAAAGAAGAACAGAAATTTTCTGCAGAAAGTAGTTTTAAAATACTTATCCATAGTAATAATCTCAGGGTTAGGCACATTGTGGTCAGTCTCTTGTCCTAGGATATATGCTCTTATCAAGTCTACACAAACCGAAGCAAAATTCAACCTCAGCAATGACTTTTATCCATTTCTAGTTGTGAATCAAAATAGATGTGAATCAAGAATGGCATTCTGAGGCGAGGAAGCCTATCTTGTTTATTCAGAAAATGCAGTTCTACAGTTGTGAGGCAATCATATCTCTGTAAATGGAATCCTAGATTAAATGCATGAGCAAAGCTATCTTTAAAGGCATGCAGTGGTGAATCCTTTTACAAAATAAAAATAACATATAAACCATGGCTTTGCATGAAGTGATACATTAGAATTAAGGTCCTGAGTGATCTGCTTCATGCAAGTGTAATGATATGAGCATTGATGTGGTGTGGTATGACACAAGTTCTTTGCTCCTGTTAAGTTATAGATACACATAAGCAAGGCAAGATGGGCACTGCTTGTTCTGAGAAACTGGACTGCCTAACTGTTGATAGCCTGGTTTTAATTCAGTGACTAACATACCACCGAACCTCAGGTGTCTGACCCTCTGGCATCTCCATATTTCTCTCTGGGACTGACAGACTGGGCTGCCTCTTCCACCAAACTGAGGCACTGATAAGTAGGGAGAGCTCTTAAAATCAGCAATAAACATTAAGAAAGTGACATTTTTTTCTTTTTAGATTAGAGAGGGGAAAAAACCCAATTTCTCAGGAGGAGATGAGAGTGTGTCATAGACTGGACTGCTAGCTGTGAACAAGAGATTTATTAGTTCTGGCCATACTAGATGACTTCTTATATATGACTTCTTATGTCTTACTTTTCTCATTGCTAGGACGAAATACCCAACGCCCAAAGAAAGATTTATTTAGCTCCAGTTTGCAGAGATTTCAGTCCATAGTAAGCCGGCTGCAAGGCAGCTGGCACATGGCAGAGGGGCAGCGCTGCATGGTGGCAGAAGCTAGAAAAAGCAGCGAGAGCCAAGAGGGGGAAACGAACCTCTTTCTGCCCCTTTTGTCTTGTCCAGTCTACTGGGATTAGTGTGATACCAACCCCTTCAGTGGACTGAACCAGCAATCACCCACCCTTCATCTCAGCACCCTAAATCTCAGCACTGAACCACGAGTTAATCACAAACTGTACATTCAGCTACCTCTGAAAAGGCCCTGTCTAAAAGTTCATGAAGCTTTGGGGGGACATCTAGACACAAACCATAACAGGTATCTTCCTGTTCTAACCTCCTAAATTGCTATGTGGACCCTAAACCAAAGGAGGCCCCTTGTCATCAGGGTCTCGTTTATGTTCATTGCCGTGCAGTACATGTTGTCGCTGAAGGGTTATTCTCTGATGGAGCAGTCCTCTGGATGAGACTGTGTTGTTTCCATGGGATTCATGTCAGAGAGGAAGTTTGCATTTCACCCTTAGAAAGAGGCCTGATAGTTTTTGGTTCTTTTCTTAGACATACAGCAGGAAAAATACCTCTTCCCACAGTTGGTAAGCAGCCGTTCTTTTAGGGGCACAGATGTACATAGGCTCAGCCCTGGCTTAGAGGTAAGAGGAGAAGGAAGCTAAAGGAAAACTTTCTCTTTTCACAACCCTGCTGCTAGCCAGTGAGTGGGTTATGCATACTAAGCAATTGTCCAACTATATGCCAACATCAGTTGGGTATCCTACAATGTAATTAAGCTGACATTACCCAGAGTTAATGCAGACTGCACAAGTTAGGGGCTCAGTCGTACAAAGCGGGCCCCCTCTCAAGATGCCAAGTGCAAGTAGTAATTCTCTACCTTCTCCACACTTCTGTTCAACTTGGTTATACTTCAGAGTCCCCGGCAACTTTTTCTTCAAGTTTAAGTGTTTGTAGTAATGGCTCACAGAACTCAGGGAAACGTCTTACTTAATTTGCCAGGTTATGATAAAGGTATCACAAAAGATACAAATGCATAGCTAGATGAGTATATACACAGAGCAAGGTCTCAAAGGGCCCCAACCACAGGAGTTTCTGTCCTTACAGAAGCAGAGCATGCTACTCCTGTGGATATAATGAACAACTCAGAAACTCTAAACATCTCCATTTAGGTTCCGTATGCAGACATGATCAATTGAACATTGGCCACTGGTGATTAATTCAGACTCAAGCCCTTTCATCTCCTTAGAGGTCAGGTTTGGAAACAGTTGTATCTAACTGAAAATTACAACCTTTATATACAAGGTTTGTTCTGCTGGCAACAAGCCCTCATCTTGAAGCTATACAGAGACTTTCAGCTACCTTTCATCTTATTAGCATAAACTTATGCATGTGTGGTTGAAAGGGGCTTACTATGAATTTAAAAAAACAAAACACTCCCATCTCTGCTCCCAAAACTTTACAAAGATTTTAGGAGCTCTGTGTTAAGACCCAGGCACAAAAACCAAATATTACAGCAAAAGATGTTCTAATCATCCTTACCACTCAGAAAGTGATAAGAGTTTTGGGAGTTCTGTGTCTGCAATTTGGAATAAAGATGTAATATATATTTGTTATTGTTTCACATCGTAGCAGTCCTAAAAACTTACTTTGCATCCTATCCCTGAACTTGCAATCTTGGGCATGTGACTCAACTGCTCTGCATGTCAGTTATTTTGTTCACCCAGTTGGGACCTTGTGTGGATGTGATGAGTTGCTTATGTATCCTCGTACCATGTACTTCATGTGGTTGGAATTCAGGAAGTGCATTTGTTTTATTGTTATTATTCATTTAAAAGACACTTCCCCCCATACTTTAAGGGTTTTATTGTTTTTATCACATGTCCCACTTAGTAACCAAACTACTTTTATTTCAGAAAGCTTTTCTGAAACTTACCCAGTCTCCAGAAAACAGGTAGTTGAGGATGGTGATAAAGTCAGTTGAATTATTTAGTGACTTCCTGGAGCAGCATGTGGAATGATATTCCATGGAAGGCCTTTGGTGACAATCTTACTACTTTCTTGCCTAATGACTGGAAGTGTATTTCACCTCTAAATTTTTATGTCATTCTCCTAATCAATTATGAAAAGCTCCTTGAGGGAGTGAATCTCGGAGTTACAGGAAGATCATACAATGAAATTAAACCACCAAAACAGGAGGATTTTATAGAGGCAGTAGGAAAAAGGAGTGTGTCTCTAAATGAATGTTGTAAGGCTGGTGTGATGGAGAATCATTCAACAACACCTTCTTTTCTAAGGTGGAACCATTTTCTAAGGATACAGAGTCCATACCTTTCTATAGCCTTTCTGCAGTCCTGTTTAGAGGTGGAAGGATGGTTCTCTGGGCAATTGGAATGCTTGGAGAGATGGAATGAATCCAGATGTGACCATGCCTGTTTAATAAACTTTATTGACTACTCTCTACCTGGAGAGCAGATATTTGATTTAGTGCAGTAGGACCTACATGACCTACACCACCCCCATCCTCTATAACCTTCTAGTTATATTGAGGCAGTCCCCTAAATTTAACCTTGTTGTCTCTGCCCACGTCCCTCTCCCCCTCCTCTCTTCTCACCTGGCTTGCTCCCTCCCATCCTTCAACACTGGGCCCATATGTCACGTCCTCCTTGTGGTTCTCAGTGTTGACTAAACATTAAAATCAGGAGATGTCTTTAACAGTCCTGACCAAGAGCCAGTCTTGAGCTGTTCCATTAGAATCCCTGGGGTCTGGACATAGGAATCAGTATTAACAATCACATCTCAAGTGATGCCAATGTGTAACCAAAGGTTCTTGGGTTCTTGACCCTAGATTGCAGCCAACTTGTAGCACATGCAAATATTCATTAAATGATTACTGAAAGAGTGAATGAGGCACCCCTGACATGATTTATCTTCATATAGTTAGATGTCCCTAAGATTGGCCCTACAATGTTGTAGGTTGTAATAGTGCCAGGGTAGGATCATCTGATGCATGACCTATATCTATCTGCTTTCTTGATTCCTTTGGTTTATTCAGTTTATTTTCTATCTTTCTTATTTGTTTTAAGACTTCAGCTTTTTTAGTGTAAGGTAATTTTCTCTTATTTTAGAAAATTTGGACATTCACAAGAATAAGAGAAAAACTGCTCA